TTATGTACGTGACTTGAATGTCTACGTACTAACAAGAATAAACACAAGATAAGACAGTAACTAACAAACTGTGCTTTATCTACAATACTAAATACAATAAGGGCGAACAATAGGAATATGGCTAAGCGCCGAATAGGTGGAGACAGAATAGAATAAGAATAACACTGCGACAATAAGACTAAGACCACGACTGAATAATAGGAAGGCTTTTATACTAAGCCAATACCTAACACAACCTTCACTATCGGTACTTTGATTTTGGCATAATATTTGATAGACTTTTTGACTTTGGCATTTTATAGATTTTGGCATTTTACAGAATTTGGCATTTGATAATGCATCTGCTTTTGAGCAGAAGATCCCGATAAAGTGAAGGGAACCGGCGTTGTTGAAATGGTATGCAATTTATTCAAGACAAGTCTACTTTTATTTATCCCCTTATTTATCCTCAAAACTCTTAGATAGGTTGCAAACTGGAAGTTTTAATATTTTAAATAGAAGCAAAAAACACTACGTATTTATAATAAAGACTAGATAGTTAGGTAAAAATTTGCACCGAATAATGTAAAAACCGATATAATGTAAAAATATGCACGGAAGTACCGGAACTATGCACCGAAGAAGTACCGGAACTATGCAAGCGTAAAAACACGATTCTTTAGTTTATGTCTGAACCGCAAAATTCTTAGACGTAAGTGTTGGGCCACAAAATTCTTCTAATTGGTAAATAGCATGTATTCATCTAAAAAATGTTAAGATAACTCAAATAAAAAATTCTAAAAATTTTTTAATACCATTTTAAAAACTCCAACCGGATACAATCTCAATTACATGAGTCCACTGAACTCATGATTAAGTGAAGGGAACCGGAGCCGTTTATATGGTGTACTTTTACCACAGAATTTTTACTTTTAATAAATTTTTACTTTCAAAAATGTCCTTTAAATAATCCAAAAATTAATACCTTTCAACAGACTCCAACCGGATACAAAACTACACCAACTCCTAACGGCGTTACAGAACACCGCAGCTTGCCCGATCATGAATACCAACTGCTTTGGGCGAAAGAACTAGTACGTATCACGATCCAGTGTAGGGAACCGGCGTCGTTGAAATGGTATGCAATTTTCGATATAATTTTCCCTTTTTATTTATCTGCTTTTTTATTTTCAAAACTCTTTGATGGGTAGCAAATGATAAATTCATGCTTTCTTTTAATTAGAAGTAAAAGATAGTACAAAACAAAAGAGATGTATTTTTGGACAAAATTTGTCCTTATTTTTATAACCGTGGCTGTCAATGTTTGGGTCACTTACATTGCTGCTCCAATATTTCGAAATGCCCGGAGCTATGTATGATTTGGAAAACATCGGAAGGGACAGCTTAATGTACAATACCAGTACTGGTCCAAGTGTCAACATAATTGAATCTCACATCTCTAAATCTCATACCCGCTAATTTCTTGACAGCAAAATACTTAGCTGTACATAAGTGCTGAAGCAGAAAAATTATGTTAATCGGTAAATGTACTAATCTAAAGAAACATTAAAAAAAACATTAAAAAATTCAACAAGAGTCCAGCAAATTACAATTTTCAATTAAAAAGTAAACACCAGTCAACGACTCCAACCGGATACAACCGTTACATTAGGTTTCCTCGACACCTAATTTGGCTTCTACACAAATACGCAAATTTATGAAGATGTTGTTAAATATAGGTAGACTGAAGGTGCAATTTGTGTAGACGCCTTGTATGTAACGGGAACCGGCGCCGTTGAACTGGTGTGTTCTTTGTTTGAGATTTCAGACTTTTATACAACACCTTTTGTATTTCTTAAACTATTAGATGGGTAGTAAAAATACCATAGGTCTGTAATGGTACCACCCGGACTTGTTAAAGGGAATTTTGTATTTTCTTTATTATGTATTTTATTTCCGGAAAAATACTTTTACCTCAAGAAAATACAAATAACAGGGTTGTATTTTCTTTCCGGAAAGTTTATATTTTTTATTTAACAGAAAAATAAATAAATTATTATTACAAACAATACATACAAATAATAAAATTTCTGATCTTTAAAAATCCCGAACAAGTCAGTCTCGTAACCGACCACATTATACAAGCGCATAGAAAGGCATGCTCACCGGCACTGCCTCTTGGGCCCCTTAACATCGCACGCAATCAGAGTTGCGTCGTAATTGAAAATTTTTTTCGTAATCGTAATTCGTAATTTTTTTTTAAGTTTCGTAATCATAATTCGTAACTCAGAAAATGCCGTATTCGTAATTTATAAAAAATATTTAAATTAATTTAAAAAATCAAATATTAATAAAAGATTCGGCTCCCATTACCCCTCTAAGTCCTCTTATTTCTCTGATAATATTTCAACTTCCAAGTAATTCCCTAATATCCCTCTTAATCCCTTAATCCACCGATATCTCCTCAAACAAGCATGCGGATACATCGTCCCAGACATATTAAGAGTATTCAGAATACCGGCCGGAATAACGAAATCTTTGCTCCGGTATTTTTCGTTATGGTATTCAATCCGAACCCTACCCGAGAAATTTTCAAATCCTGGCTTCTTTTAATCTTTTGATATCCCTCTTGATCTTATCACTTTTTTGCGCCGCAGGCAAAAATTTTGGAAATTTTGGGAAACCTTATGAAAAAAAATTCAATTGTAGAATTTTCTGCGCCGCTGGCGAGATTTTCTGCGACCACAAAATATTAAAGTGAAGAAGCCTGACTTCTAAACCATTCAACCACAATCAACAATAGAAGTTTTGTAAAAAATATAAATATTTTCTTTCCCTTTTCATTAGAAATTTATTTTTTATTCTCGTAATTCGTAATTTTTTCCGATATTTTCGGAATCATAATTCGTAACTCAAAAAACGCGTAATTCGTAATCGTAATTAATTACGACGCAACTACGCACTCAATCTACTCAACATCCCAATACCATCCTGGCCCGGCACGAGCTTTACTATTATAATAAAATAAATATTTAATTGTATTAATAAAATTAAAAATGTTTACTAATTGTTTCGCGCTTATGTTAATTTTGGGACGTTATACTTTCATGGGACGCATATGCTTCCGTGGGACGCATATACTTTCATGGGACGCATACTGATATACTGACGCATACATATACTCTGATGGGACTATATACTTTCGTGGGACGCGTATAATTTCATGGGACGCATGTCCTTAATATATTGCACTTTTATTCATACTCACAAATTCTTGTTTATATAAACGCAATTTTTTATTTAATATATTATTTTTCATTCATTTTTATTTAAATTTAAAAATGTTGAAGATGAAACTTGCTAGTTATCTAATCGTTTCAGTTTTCTATGCAATATTATGGACATCTATTAAAACTACTCCAATTCGAAAAGGATTAGCTAGACATGTTGAAAAGGATTACACGGCATCTAAAATGTTAAACGATGTGGCTGAATCGTCGGTTAGTCCTCAAATTCGAGAAGACAGGGACGCGTTAGACCCAGAATTAAAAAATACAAAAAATGTCACAGATCAAGGAGAAAACAAAGTGTCTAATAGAAGTGAATATCATAAAGAATATTACATAAAAAATAAAGCAAAGCTTCTTGAAAATAGCCGAAAATACCAAAAACAAAATAAAGAAAAGGTATCTGAGACCAATCGAAATTACTATATAAAGAATAAAGAAAGGTTAAAAAGTAAGAGTAAGGTTAACTATCAAAAAAATATAAAAAAGGTACAGGAATACCAGAAAATGTATACAAAAAATAACGGAGGAAAGCGCAAAGAATATTTTCGAAAATACCGTCAAAACAAGAAAAATAAATCTAATAATAACGAAGGAACTTCACTTGTTAATAAACAGAATGGTGATTTTAATAATAAAGGTAAATTACCAATTGTTTGCGAAGAGGAAGGTAATACTCTTTTTAATCAAGGGCAGGAAAAATGCAATAATGGCGAGGATCGAGAAAATCAAATTGAGGTAGAAGAGCTAAATAAAATTCTTGACGATGAAAGAAATCACATAGATCTAAATAAGGAAATGTATCTTTTTGATTTGAACGAGGGACCTGTTGATGTTATATGTGAAGATAGAGGTAAATTACCAATTGTTTGTATGGTGGTAGTATATCTTTTCAATTAAGGAGAGGATGATGAAATCGAGGTAGACAAGCCAAATAACATTCTTGAAAACAACATAATAGATTCATATAAGAAAATGAATCCCTTTGATTTGAACGAGATACCTTTCGATTTGAACGAAAAACCTGATGATGAAGAATGTGAAGATTATTAAGAATACGACTTTGGTTTCGTTAATGCGTTCTAGCTAGAATTGGATTTTTTTATTATTTTTCCGATTTTGCATTAATTAACCAGTTGTCCAGGCAAATATTTAAATCCCCTTCCATATCTATCCTTTCTTCCGCAAAAATTTACATTCTATAGTCATCTTAATTGAATTAATAACGCAAAGGCAACTAAAAGTTTTCAATCAAAAATAAGTAAAATCCCAAAAATTTAACACCATTCAACAGACTCCAACCGGATACAACCGTCACATTAGGTTTCCACGACATCTAACCTAGCTGAAGAGTCGCACTGAAGAGTGCGTTTTGTGTGCCTTGTATGTAACGGGAACCGGCGCCGTTGAACTGGTGTGTTCGTCGTCGAAATTTCAGACTTTTATACAACACCTTTTGTATTTCTGAAACTATTAGATGGGTAGTAAAAATACGACAAGTCTGTAATGGTACCAATCGAAGTTGTTAAAGGGAATTTTGTATTTTCTCTATTATGTATTTTATTTCCGGAAAATACTTTTCCCTTTAAGAAAATACAAACAACAGGGTTGTATTTTCTTTCCGGAAAGTTTGTATTTTTTATTAACAGAAAAATACATAATTATTTACAGCGAATAATACATACACACAAATAATACATAAAATTTATTATCAAAAAATATCAAAAAATATTTTTAAAAATCCTTATCAGACAATAGCCATCTCCCCCTCACTTCTTCCTTGTTCCCTTCATTTAAATGTTGCCTTGAACAATTGGAATAATTTATGTGTTTTTCATTTTTCTTTATCAAAAATAAATTTTCCTCCTTTTTAATTTTCAAGTAATTTTCATTTTCGTTGTAATCACAAGTCAACAAGTTGAATAAAGTTGTGTCCATTCGTTTTAGTCTCATTAATGATTTGTACACCTGTTTATAGTTTAATTATATTTCCGGAAAGCTTTTTTGTATTTTTGGTAAAAATACAAGATTTCCGGAATTATTTATTAGTCATTTCCGGAAATTATTTTCCGGAAAATATTTTAAATATATGTATATTTTTGTATTTGTTCAGTTTCCGGAATTTTTTGAATGTGTTTCCGGAATGTATTATATTATATTATTCAAAGTTATATTGTTATATTTTTCCGGAAAGTATTATTGTATTGGTGTGTTTATTTTTCTTCTATTTCCGGAAATTATTATTATCCCTACTTTAACTTTAACTATATTGTTATATTTTTCTATTATTCAAAACCTTCAGAAATAAATTTAAAAATTACCAAATTATTAATTTCATTTTTCCAATGATTTGCCTCATTAGCTTTAAACAATGCTGGTAGCATTATAGGAAATAATAAATGGCTGTAATTTGGGGTGATGAGGGAGAGAATTGTTTCACTGTTCCATAATTGGAGTGCTCGTTCAGCTACCTAAAGATAGAAAAATATAAAGATTAAAAATATAAGGATTGTGAATTTGAAGAAACCCCAAAATTTTATTAAACATTCCGTAATTAATTGTGTTTTGCTTCGGGAACTAATTTTAAAGTATTCCGGTATAAACAAGGGACTATTTACTAAATTTTCCGGAAAGTATGTCAGTCATAAATAAAATACATTTTCTTCAAGTGTATTTTATTTCCGGAAAGAATTGTATTTTGCTTCCGGAAAGTATTTTACACTTTTATGATGTAAATGGAATTTTCCGGAAAAAATACATTTTTCGGAACGTTTGTATTTTGTTTCCGGAATGTTTCATACAATTTTTCCAATATAGGTAAATAGAATTTTCCGGAGACTAAATATTAATCAGTTCCGGAATGTATTTTAAGAGGATTGTTATAAAATCCTCGCTCCAAAAATTAAGCACCAGGCGCAGCACGGGCGGAGCACGCAGTTATACAGAAATTCACTTTTATTAAATAAAATAAAATTTATTTATCTAATATTAAGTAGAACACAAAAAATTTTTTTTCATATATAAAATACATTTTCCCGACACGTATTTTGGTTTCCGGAAAGATTTTATTTCACTAATATTTAAATTACCCTGAAATGCAGACTTGACGCGCATTTTCCCAACTGTCGAAAGAGTGGCTTACAAATTAAATTAAATTCATTATTTCCAATTCGACTCAATACTTCTTCAATTTCCGTTAGTAATAAAACCTTTAAAAATATTTTTTATTTTTTTTTTATTTTAAGAAAATTTTACTTCTTTAGCCGAATAATCTTTCGGCCATTTTCCAAGTAAATAGTCAAAAGTAGGCTTTACAAGGCTAAAATCTTTTTCGATAAATAAAGCAACACAGTTTGAAAGCTGAGCAAAATATAGCAAATAAGTTCTTGGCTTGTGTAGAGGAAGTAATATTTTTAAGAAAAATTGGCGATGTTCGGGTTTTAGTGGAACGCAGAAACTGAAAAAATTAAAGTACGCTTTTAAATTATAAGAGGAACTGTCAGAAAATCCCTTCATGTTATCGTAATATTCTGGATGAAGTTGAGAAGGAAGGGATTAAAAGGAGTTTGATTAATCGAGGATTCGGAGGATTCTATTATTACTAAGAAGATGCTTTTATAAAATACAATCCCAGAAAAATAGGAAAAGCTGATAAAAATACAAAATACTTATTTCCGGAAAGCTATAAATGAGTTTTAAAAAAATAAAGGTTCTTTCTGAAAAAAATGACAAATCCGTTTTCCAAGGAGGAAATTGGTAAATAGGTAATCTTTTCGAATTTTGAAATAAAGATTATGTAATGTAATTTTTATGGTTTACACTCAGCTCTTAAGAGGACTGGTATCCACTCCTCGCTCCAAAAATTCGGGGCTCTATTTTTTAATCAAATTTATGGTAAATTAATTTTTTTATTAAATAAAATTGAATTCATTTATCTAATATTAAGTAAAACAAAGAATTTTTATATGATTGAACTGCCTTAGATCCAGAAGTCGAAGAAATGTTACTTTACTAAACACAACTAAAACCAACTAAAAAATTAAATAATTTACCCATTAATTATATCTCCAAGAATTTCCAAAATTTCAGGAACTCCTTTACACTGTCTACTTTCATAAACATGTTCCAAAAACAACCACCCCATTCTTTTGCGTATCTCAGGCCTTAAAGGCACCAATTTACTGTAGAGTGTGTGAACCACTTTTTTGAGTTGTTGTCTTTCTCTGGGGTCTTCTGAGTGAAATAATTCCAATAAATCTCCAATAAATTTTGAATTAAATTCAGTAAATTTAGCAAGATCGCCATCACTCCATTTTTCAATTAATAAATGTAGTAGACGATAAACTTGAAGTAAATGGGGCCAATTAGGCTCTAAATGGGAGTTGGATGTTAGCCGAGAATCTAGACCAATATCTGTTAGTTCTTCTGTTGTTGAATTATCTTGTGTTTCGCTTGGAGGAAGAATTCTGAAAAAAAATTTTGTTATCTACATAATATATAAAAATATATTTAAATTTTTATTTAAGCAAAACATTTAATCAAATGCCAATATTTTTCACCAAGCTCTGTGTTTATTTTTGGGGTGAGGATTTCTAGCGAATCCTCGCTATAATAAAATGTACTTCAAAGTCAGTTCCTGATCAGTTGAGAAATATCCACATAACTGGAAATATTCAGAAAAAAATTCTACTCAAAAAATTGGCCGTAAATGATATTTAAGATTAACACGCTGTATTTTTTATTCAATATACCAGCCTGAATAAGTTTAACCGGACAATATCAACCAGTCCGCGCTTCAAATTGTCCTCTTCCTCCATTTTTTTCGAAGAACTATTGGAAACCCATTCAATTACTTCCTCTAAAGCATTCGTCTTTATTAATCTCTCATTAATTTTTTCTTCATTCTCCTCCTCTCCCCATGCCACAAATTGTTGGCATTGCTGTATTTTTTGTAGTAAAATTTTTTTTATTTCTGCATTGTTTGACTCCTTCAGAGGTGGAAGGGGAAGCTGAAATTTTAAACGGATTTTATTTAGAAAAAAATTTTTTCCGGTCAACTTACCATGATAGAACCTCCATTCACCTCTTCATCCTTCCCACAAACTTGCTCGTTCCCTTTCCTTCTACATTCTCTGTTTAATTTTCTGGATTCGCTGGGAATGCTAACAGAATATGAAGGTCGACGGTCTGCTAACAATTGTGCTAAGGATTTTGGAATGGCTTTGTTATTATTGTCATTATTTAAAGTGTTAAGAGGTGAACATGTTGGAATATTAAACATTTTTACTCTGAAAATAATTTAAATTATATTCTGTATTTTCCGGAAAATGTAAAAAAGAAAATACAAAGTATTTCCGGAATAAATACAGAAGAAGTATTAATTACAAAAATACAAATGAGTATTTTCGTGTTAAACACAAATTCTTTCCGGAAAGAGAAATAGAAAAACAAATTTTCCGGAAAGAAACTAAATATATTACCTTCCGGAAAATTTAAGAAGAAAATATAAATTCTTTCCGGAATAAAAGTATTAATTACAAAAATACAAGTATTTTCCTGAAAAAATACAAATTCTTTCCGGAAAGAAAATAAATAAATATATTACCTTCCGGAAATTTTAAAAAGAAAATACAAATTCGTTCCGGAATAAAAGTATTTATTACAAAAATACAAAAAAGTATTTTCCTGAAAAAACACAAATTCTTTCTGGAAAAAATTAAAAAGAAAATACAAAATAAATTCTTTTCCGGAAGAAATACAAAATAGTTTGTATTCACTTCCTTAGAACATTATTTCCGGAAAAATACACATCCCTATCAATAATTCCGGAAAGAAAATACACAGCCTTCCGGAAAGTAAATTCCTCTAATATTTAGCAGAAATATAGAAATAATATATTTTCCGGAAAGAAAACAAAAAATTACAGGTTTTACAAGAATAGAAAAAATACTGAAAGTAAAACACATTTTCCACTAATAATTTTAAATCTCTGACTCTCCCTAAAATATTTTCCTGCATTTAAATAAAATAATTTATTAACTTGCTAGTCATTCATTTTTTGCTTATTTTTAAATATTTTTTAGCGCGTGACTTTTAGATATTTTTTTTTATTATTTTCCCAAATTCTCCAAACATAGAATTAAATTTAGAGACACAGTGATTTCTCTGATTTTTGTCCAAATAATTTCCTTGAATTTATTTAAATATTTAAAGACAGAAAATTGGTGGAAGGCAGCGGTGGTCGTTTAGTTTTTTTATTGTTTCCCGTGACTTTTTGCACTGCTTTGGGAATGCCCCTCTCTTAAGTCTTTCCTTACACGTTCTTTTTGTGTTACCACGAGATTTTTTATATGAAAAGTGGTTGGTAATATTTATGGACAGAAATGCAAACAAAAATTTGCGGATAAAAATATGCAAACAAAATATTTGCGGACTAAAATTTGCTGACAAATTTTGCGGACAAAAGTTGCGGACAAATTTGTCTCTCTTGATTTCTGAAGCAAATCTCAAAAAAAAATTTTCTGATTTCGGAATGTGAAGCATACAAGTATGGGAGCTACATATTAAAATACTAGAGTGATAAAGAAAATTAGCTGACGAAATCCTTCTATGAGGGGGGGGGGAGCATTTATTTAAAAAAAGAAAGCAAGCTTACGAAGCATGCTCTTTTTTAAATTTTAAAATAAATTTTCTGAAGCAAGCTTAAATAAAAAATAAATATGCAGCATTTGTACTTAATCATTCTCTCCCGTGGGCGTAGAATGGGATTCGACTGCCCTCGTGTTTATGCAGCTTGTGTAAAAGGGAAAGGGAGAGAGGTGTTCCCCCTAACGCCGTTCGCGACTGAAAACCAAGCAAAAGCACATGGTGCAAATTAAAAAAATGTAATGTAGAGAGTTGGATATCTGAATGGGGGAAATATAAAAAAGATGGAAGAAAAAATTATTTGAAGAAAAATGTGTTTAAAAAAGAAGAAAAAATGTTGTTAATGCATTAAAGGCCAAAAGTAATAAAAAAAAATTTTTAACTTAATAAAGGGAAATTTTTTATTTCTTGTTTCGATTATGACAAGTTTAATGAATAGTAGAGGATTTTAATTTCATGATAGGATTTTGAAACAACATCCCACCACCCCAATACCGTAACAACAACATCATACATAGGTGATTATGTAAGAAGAGGAAGAACATGCCAACTTAAGAAGGGGGTCAAAGGTAGATTTGTTTTGAAACATTCCTGAACTAGCCTTTGAAAAAATTAAATAAAAAAAGAATTTAGCTTTGAAATTTTGAGATAAAACACTAGATTTGTGAAGAAATATTTGATGAAACTATTTTAAGGGGAGGAGGATATATTTTAAAACCGAAAGCAAGCTTCTAAAGCTAGGCAATGTTTAATATACCCAAACACTCTTCCAAACTCTCGGTCGGTGCTGGGTATAGCTCTGAAGCCGGCTTCGCCTGAGCTAAGATTTTAAAAGCCCGGAGCCAGTAGCCGGAGCCAACAAATGCCAAACACGCAGCACTGCTCTCGGCCATCATAAAAATCAAAAAAGAATGGAAAATACATTTTTAGTATAAGAGGACCATAATTTCTTTAAATAAAAGTTGAAATAATGAAACAATAAAAATTTCTATTTATCAAAAATGAAATTAATTTATCAACATTTTATATGCGCATTTTTATGGTCGTCTATCTCAATAAATTTTGAAGGTGGTTAGGGGTTCCCCAAACATTTTTAAATAATAAATTGGGGGAGTAAATTGAATTTTTCTTCTTTAAATAGTAAATAAATTTAAAAAATATTTCTTTTTCAGTCTGTGATGTTCAGTGACGATTGTGGTCTTTCCTAAAACCAAAAAAGGGAAAATAATAATAGAAAGAGACAGTCGTTCCCCCAGAAAAGACCAACCACTTTTTTGGAAAGAGAAAAGGTTAACGGCTTCCCCAAAAAATTTTTTGTCAAGTCTTGTGTCTTTTTTTGTTTATATTTTTGGCAAATAATAAAAAAAATTGGAGGTAGCGGGAAGAGAGATCACATTTTCCAACTCATTGAAAAACCTTAGGTTTCCCCCTATGTTTACAATTAAATTTTATTATCTATAATTCATTCCCTGAAATAAAACCTACCCTGAATCACGTATCTAATGAGGAAGGTTATGGAACAATAAAGTCAACTGAGACTTATTTCGAGAAAAATATTTAAGGAAAGAGATGCTCATGCAATGTAACAGGGATGAGCCTTTCCTTAAACCATCCCTATATCCTATATATACGGCGGATACAAGCAGGTATCCGCAGGCATGTTAATATTATCGGTATCCATATCCGTATCCATGCACAGGTCTGCCTTAAATAGTGAAAGATGGAGCGGAAACTAGGAAGATTCCACAACGAAGGAAGGGAATTTTTTTAAGAAACCCCACAATTGTACCTATTTAAAAATATTTACTTTGAGACAATAAAAGTTTCAGAAGAGAGTCCATCCCTGATATGTAGCATGCCAACTAAGGGGATTCTTTTTTAAGTTGTAGCGGGGAATAGAAGGTTTATCATTTAAGGGGATTCCCGGTTTAAAAATATTTACTTTAAGTATATTTTTAACCTTGGGGGCTTCCCTCCTTGTTTACAACATAATTGTTCGTTATTTTTCTTCTAATCCCGACAAAGTTCAAGGGGACTTTATTGTTTATAAAAATTATTTTTTTCTTCCTTCATAAATCACGTAAATAATGGGCAAAAATAAAATATCACGGGTTTTGGAAGAACATTTCTACCTTTTTTTTATCTTTTTGGGGGTTCCCTATTTGAACTTTGAATTTAAAAAGAGAGAAAATTGAGAATAACAACCGTCTATAAAAACCGATTAAAAAAGGACAAGAAGGGAAGGAATTAAAAAATTTATTTTAGGGTGTTCCTCCCAAAAAAATAAAACCCCAAAATATCAATTTTTAATAGATCAAGGTTGAAATTCAAAAATTTCAAGAGAATACTTGACATAATAAAATTTAAAAATCGAGGATCTAAGGTAGAAGTTTGTAAATTTTTTGATTTAGTTCAGAAAGGAATTGGAAGAACGGGATAAATAATGAAACGAAACGAAATTCAACCAACTCTTATTTCAGCTAGAGTAGATCCCAGTCCCCCGAAACCCCGTCCCCCTTAAACCCCAACCCAAAAGTTAATCTCGACCACGACCCCCGTCATGCCCTCCCCGGCAAACCCGGATCCCCGATACCTTCAACCCCAAAGGCTCAGGGAGCCACTTAGTATTTATATCCAACTATCATCCACCCTTACAGAAACTAATCAACACTCTTTTCAATTTCGATCATTTGAGACGATTATTGCCAGTTTTATTAAAAACAAAAAAAATCAGTTGATAATAAATAATTTAAAAAGAACATTTAATATCTTTTTTTGTCAAAAATTAAATAGGGTATTTTGTTTTTATTATTTTTTGTGTAATATTCTAAAATGTTAGGAGTTTCCTCAAATTTTAACTTGATATTTTTAAGAGTTTTGACTATTTTTGTTTAAAAATATTTTTATAAAAATAAATGTGTTATCTCTAAATTTGTGACAGATAAAGAATTAAGAGGGTTTCCCTAAATGTTCTTTTAAAATAAAAATAAAAACAAAATAATAACAAGTAAAAATATTAGTGGATTATTTATTTTAAATCTAAAAAAAAATGTATTTTTAAAATTTGAGTAATTTCCGGAAAAATACAATTAAAATATTTTACTTAATATGTATTTTCCCAGAAAGTATAATATATTTATGGATATTTCCGGAAATAGTATTTACGGAAAATACAGTTAGTAGTTAATTATGTTTTGTATTTTTCCGGAAAAGTTATGAAATAAATATGAATATTTCCGGAAGTAGTATTTCCGGAAAAATATACTTTTTGAAGAATAAATTCCGGAAATATTTATAGAGTTTCCGGAATACTTGTATTTTTCCGGAAACTATACAGGAAAATACAACATGTATTTTTGTATTTTCCCGAATATTTTAGTAAGGAATTTTTTCATTTCCGGAAAGTTATGTATTCAGAAGATACTATTTACGGAAAAAATACATTTTCTTAAAATATAATTGTATTTTTCCGGAAAAATATTCAGAGAGTTCCGGAATATAACATTATTTTTTTAGCTTATATTAATGTCTTTTACATCTCCATAAAATATATACATATTATAATTTGTATTTTCCGGAATTTGTTTGAATTAAATATTTTAAACAATTTAAATAATTTTAAACTGGTTTTGCTTCTACTCCGCAAAGAGTTTCTCCCAAGTTTTTAAACATTGCCATCTTAAATAAAATTAAAAAAATATTTTACTGAAAGAATTTTTTTCATACCCTTTTTTGCTCCATTTGTTCAATACCATTTTTCTCAATAAACGTCAAAACATTCGAGTATAATTGTTTAATTTGAAGTGATGGCGTTTTGTCTGGTCCTATTGAAAAGGAGCACAAATCGAGTAAAGTAGAAAGAATCCACTGACAACAAAGAAGTCGAAACCGGCACTTTAGAAAGGAGGAAAAATTTATTTAATTTCCGAAAATTCAAAATTTCTACTTGTATTTTTTCAATTCCCTGTCCTTGACATTCCAACGGAACTTGCCATCTGTGGAACCGATTTTCCCGTTGTAAATGAGCAAAAGCCTTTTCTACATGTAACAGAGCTATTTCTGTCCATGCTTTTTGTTTTCTATCTTCAAGACAAATTTTTCTTGAACAAAAAGCCAAGCCAACAGCCAATGCTGTATCACTGTATTTTTTTAGATTTTTTTGAATTCAGGAAATATTTACCTCTGCAATAGATTTTGAGGACATTTGCGCACAATTGCGTTATGTTGCCTTGCTCTAGCCATATCCCCATGACGCCAATGAAGGGCGCTGCTTAATAAATGAGCCCACCAGGTACAGAGCTCATCACCTGATGCAGAATTCGATGACAATAAAATATCTGAGAGAGCTAGAAAATTAACTTTTAGATTAAATATTCATGAAGCTTTCTCTCGTCTACATTAGGGATGTCACTTTTAAAGAAGTCGACTCTTGTTTCGGGTTACAAAAAATATTTTCGGATCGGATATAGGGTTTATAATTGAGAAAAAATTCAAGGTTAGTGTCGAAAAAGGTTAAAGTTTGGGTACCTCGTGGCCTCCCTAGTCTACATACCTTCACTATCCGTCCTGCTAGATTCCCCTACATTCTCCTTGCACTTCACACTCGTATCATTCCCATTGGCAGTACAAATTTGTAATAAAAGCTGTGATCGTTCTACAAAATCAGGAACACGTAGACCCTCAGAAGAGTCAATTTGTGTTAACAAAGCATCGAGCAAGTGAATTTTGAATGCGTCTCGAAGAACTTCTAGAGGTTTGGCTGGAAGTGTTTGTGGTCAAATGAGTTAACAAATAGTTAATACTACCGGACTGTGTTGAATCAGTAAACGGAAAATTAGTCTGTCTTTGAGCTCCACTCCCGTCTAATATAGCAGCCAAACGGTGAGGGTCTGCAAGGAATTTGCGCGCTAAAGGGTGGAAAGCCCATTGAAGAGAATAAATTTGTTCTGCATTTCCTTCCAGACGATGACTTTTGGAAACATGTCGTCTAGGAAATAATAAAATAATCTCAATCTTGTTTCCGGAAGCTCCGGCTCCGCCGCTAGCTACCGGAGCCATACCGAACACAAGTTGTTAACCAAACAGACTCTTTCATACCAGAATTGAGAACATAGTTTTTATCAAAATATCGTGATTCCGGGCTAACGGATTTACCATATCAGTATCCGGGTTTTAACAAAATAATTAGCAATTGATTATTACGAGGATTTAATAAAAATCCTCTTCCCAAAAATTCATCAAATCTTTTTTCTCAATATTCAGTAAAGTTTGAATTAATGTTTTGCTTAAGTAATATTTAAACTTTATAAATTTATATTATGCAAATTATTGACTACTCAAAAAAATTTTTTCGAGAACTCCCTCCATTCGAAGCACAAGAGAATGAAACTGAAGTTTCTATTCCGGAAACGAGTAAATTTTCTATTCCGGAAGTGAGTAAATTTTCCGGAATATGTTCCGTTTATTGTCTTATTAAAATACTCACTTTGCTCTCCTAAAGAAATAGCCTGCTATAGGCAAGCGCAACCACCGCGGTAAGCATAATCTACAACGGATAGCAGCACATGCATACATTTCAGCTCTAAGTGCGTGTGATATTGCAGATGATCCGGCTGACTGAAGAAAAATTATAAAAATTTTTTTCGGAAAAGTTTTCACTTCGGCAAGATTTGCCGCCAACAAAGCTATGTTGAGGGCCCCTCGTTGTGTCAACCTAAGAAAAAAATTTTTTTGATGAATAAATTATAAAATTACCCAATCCCATCCACTCCTAATAAATGCAATTGATGTAACTGATTGTAAACCATCGAGGTTGCTGCATGACTTCGACAAACGGATTTTTGTGTCTGGAGGCTGGAACGACGACGACGGGCAAACCAACGGCCAATCCAGAGAACGTTTAATAAATGACGAATTATCTTTGAATAAAAATCGGGAATTTGAGGAAATATTTGGAAAGGATTACCTGCCAAATGAGAGACATCCACTCGTCTAGACCGCCAGATGAGGGTAATGGACGTTCCAAAATCTAAGGGGGGAATTTTTAAATAAGTTATGTATTTCTGACTGTTACCTGTAATGATTCCCCCAAACAACGTTGTGCCTCTTTCCAGTTACCAGCAGCTACAGCTTGTGCTGCCTTCCGCCGGCTTTGGATAAAAGTTCCCCAGCGAGGAGATCGACGATCGGCAACCTTGGGAAAAACATGTATTTTTTCTGTATTTTTCGTGTATTTTTGTATTTTTTGTATTTTTCGTTCTTTAGTTTATTTGTATTTTTTTGTGTTTTGTGTATTTTTGTATTTTCTTTCTTTTGTGTTTGTTGTATTTTTGAGCTTTTTTTTATATTGTGTATTTTCTTAATTTCGTGTTTTCTGTATTTTTGTGTTTTTGCATTTATGTATTTTTGAATTTTTTTAATTTTGTATTTTTTGTATTTTCCAATTTTGTTCTCGTATTTTTTCTTATTCACTTACCGGTTCCCCCGACACCAATAAACGATTCAGTATCGCAAAAACAAACAAACAATTTAACAGCCATATAAGTGAATGCCGTAGTAAAGACGAATTAGGCCAATGTTCAAAAGAATTAACAGAAACATAGGATTGAGAAGGAAAGGGGATTTTGTTTGTATTGTCTTTAACAAAAAAATCATCCCCCGTCAAAGTTCGATGTCTTCCAAAAATAGCCGTGTTTTCCTGCAAATCTCCTCCAAAATTTGAAGAATTTGTCGAATTTTCGGTGAAGAGAAAAGCCAAAGGATTATAAATTAATAGAAGGAACATAAACACACAAAGGGTGACACGTGATTGATCTCGGGGGCCAACAACTGAAGAGACGTTTGTTGAAGAAATTGAAGTGTTAGTGTTGTTACACTTTTTGATTGAAGCAGAAATGCGGCTTCTTTGCTGTTAAAAATTAATTTTTATTTTGTATTCTACACAATATTAAATAAATGAATTTTAATTTTATATAATTTAGAATAGATTTTAAATAGTTAAGATATATGATGAAATGAAATTTTTGGAACGAGGATTTGCTAGCGATCCTCTTACAATCTATTTAATTTGGTGCTGGACATACATAATCGGTTATTAACCGTACTCCAACTTTAGGTTATGTTCGGGTTTTGACTCACGATTCTTCGTTGTTAAATCTATTTAATTTTCTTATAGTTATAATTATTCGGAAAAAAATTTTCAATCAGTAAAATTGCAAAAGCGGCAACAAACGCTGGTAATATAAATGCTACGTTTCCACCGAGATGAAGTGTTAAAAGAACTATCTCCGATTTTGAGACAATACCAAACTTTGTTGCTGGGCACTTGCTGTCCAGCGTCCATCACGTTCACTTGCGCTTTTTATAAAACTTAGAATCAAAACAATATTTTGCAAAGATTTGTGAAAATCCACTTCCCAAAAATTTTTATTTTTGGAAGCTTGATCAATGACATTAACCAGAGTTTTTCAACTTTACTTAAATAATTCATTATTTTAAATAAAATATATTAAGTAGAAAGTGTCAACTATTATGCCACTGTTATATTTAACTACATAAGAGTAAATTATTTTTATAACTCTAAAATTTTTCGAATTCCATATTTTTTCTCGAACCCCATCATTTTTGGGTGCCGGAATTTTGGTCACCGGAATTTTGGTCACCAAGGATTTTCGGAACTTTGGTCACCAACTTTTTTGGAATTTTGGTCACCAGCGGAATTTTGGTCACCAAGTCAAAAAACGGAATATTGGACACTGAAATTTTGGTCACCAATAGGAATTTTGGTCACCAAACGGAAAAAAATAATCTTATCTAAAAGTGATATCAAAGTGATATAAAATTGTTTCTCAACTCCCAGTTGATCAATTTCAATGTTGATCACTCTGCCAGTTAATCAATCATCCGGAAGAGTGATCGAGAGTGATCAACTGAGGGAGTGATCAGCCATGAGAGTGATCAACATTGAAATTGATCAAATGGGGTTGAAAAATCATTTTTTATTACTTTGATATCACTTTTAGATAAGATTATTGTTTTCCGTTTGGTGACCAAAATTCCGCTTGGTGACCAAAATTTCAGTGTCCAATATTCCGTTTTTTGGCTTGGTGACCAAAATTCCGCTGGTGACCAAAATTCCAAAAAAGTTGGTGACCAAAGTTCCGAAAATCCTTGGTGACCAAAATTCCGGTGACCAAAATTCCGTACACCATCATTTTTGATGTATCCCTTCTTAAAGCTGATCGAAAATTCCGGTCTATCATTCTATCATTTAAAACCCCCAGAAAGACAAGCGACCGATTCCAGAGGTCAAAATTTTGCTAGACACTTTTCTATTATTTAAAAAATTATTCTACCATATTAGGCCCCTTCAATAATATTTCTGGTTGTTCCGTATGTTGCCCAACAATCATTGAAGATTTATTTATTCCTCCCATTTTCCCTGTATCCCTCAACCCAGCCATTTCCAACGCCCGTCTCAGTCTCCCATTTTCTCCTGCCAACTCTGCATTTTTAGCTCGTAATGAATGAATATTTTCTACAGCTCTTCGGAGGGTAGCTGATTTGCTTAGCTTTAAGGAAAAAATTTTTTTTCCAAAATAAAAAAAAATCGCCACTTTTGTATTGTCTTCAGTAGCCAACATTTCTTTAAGTTGATTTATTCGATCATTTATAGAGCACCTATATTTCTTTTCGATTAAATTGTGGGCTGTACGTCTTTCTGTTTTGTGGGCTTAAATGGGGATTTAATGTTTTATTCTAATTTGGGTATATCTGTTAATTCTGATTTTTAAATTCTGATATTTTTATTCTGATTTTAAAATTCTGATTTTAAATTCTGGTTTTTGATTCTGATCTTTAAATTCTGGTATTTAAATTCTGATTTTTAATTCTGATTTTTTATTCTGATTTTCATTTCTGATTTTAAAATTCTGATTTTTAAATTCTGATTTTTAAATTCTGGGTTTTGAATTCTGGTTTTTGTCTGATTCCTAATTCTGAATTTTGAATTCTACTGTTAAATTCTGATTTTTTATTGTGATTTTATTTCTGATTTTTAATTTTTAAATAATATTAAACATGCATTTCCTCCGGCCTTGACGTTCACGATGACCTGTATTACCCTCTTCACTGTCCATAACCAACTGGTCATTCTTATAAGCTGTCGAATTCATTTCAGCGCCTTCAGCCATTTCTCCTTCTCCCCAATAATCTTGATCTATTTGGGAATCTGATTCTTCCAAAAAATCAGAAGTAGCAACACTAGGGTAACCACACACTCCTCCATTGCTTAGTGGTGATAGTAAAGTGCCAGCGGAACAACCACTGGAAGGAGATGAGTAAAAATATGAGGGTTGGGCCATTTGTTGGTGTTGTTGTTGGGCTATCTGTGAGGTAAAGGAAGTTGGCTTGGTTAATTCTGATTTTAATAATTTCTGAAATTCTGATTTCTGTATTTTTGAAAATTCTGATTTTTTAAATTCTGATTTTTGTATTTTTGGAAATTCTGATTTTGAAAATTCTGATTTTTGTATTTTTGGAAATTCTGATTTTTGTATTTTTGAAAGTTCTGGTTTTAAAATTCTGATTTTGAAAATTCTGATTTGTGTATTTTTGAAAGTTCTGGTTTTAAAATTCTGATTTTGAAAATTCTGATTTGTGTATTTTTGAAAGTTCTGGTTTTAAAATTCTGATTTTGAAAATTCTGATTCGTGTATTTTTGAAAATTCTGATTTTGTAAATTATGATTTTTGTATTTTTGGAAATTCTGATTTTTAATTCTCATTCTTCTTGGTTATATGTTTGTAAATAATTCTGATTTAATTTCATTCTGATTTCACATACCTGTTGAACTCCATAATGCCCCATCGGATTACTAATCGTATTAATAGATTGAGTAATCCCATAATCAATTTGATAAGGTACTAGGGGAGGAAGTGGATCCAAAGGGGGACTACTTTGTTGCTGTTGAGTATAAATGGAAGGATTTTGATTGTATTGAAGTTGTTGGGGTTGTTGTCCTGTTTGGATGAATATAGGTTGGGAGGATTGAACGGTGGATGTATTGTTGTAATTAAATTGTTGGTGGTTATGAGGTTGTTGTTGGATAGATTGAACTTGCAGGGCTTTTCTGGCTCTCAAGTGTTCAAGCTAAATTAATTTTATAATTAATTCAGATTTTTGTATAGATTTGTAATTAATTATGGGTGTTAATTCTGATTGTATTTTTTAAAATAATTCTGATTTTTTATTTTCGAGAATTCTGATTTTTGTATTTTTCAATAATTCTGATTTTTTGTATTTTTGTAGTTCTGATTTTTGTATTTTTTAATAATTCTGATATTTGTATTTTAAATAATTCTGATTTCTGTATTTTTTAAATTCTGATTTTTGTATTTTTAATAATTCTGATTTTCTGTATTTTCGAGAATTCTGATTTTTTTATCTCATAATAATTCTGATTTTTTAAAATAATTCTGGTAGTTGTATTTTTTTAATTCTGATATTTATACTATTTCTGCTAATTCCGATTATTTTAAATAATTCTGATTTCTTTTGTATTTTCCTTCAATTTAATTTTTTTTTCAGAATTTCCCATATTTATTAATTAAAATTCTGAAATTTAAATACACCTCTTCCGGCGTTATTTGCAACAATAATTGAAGGAACTCCTGTTTAGCTAATATAGCAGCTTCCCCAGTATTATTATAATTTTGTATTTCATCCGTATTAGAAGCTGATAATTCCTGCTTGACTGTCCTTTCTTCATTAGTTAATAAAGAATTATTTTTGTTTGGTAATTTTGTTGAAATTGGGGGGAGTGGAGGTGGGGAGTCGTTTACACTACTTAATTGCTGATTAGTACTTAATTGCCAGAACGTTTTTTCTTGAAGTTCTTTTTGTTCTGGGTGGTCCATAATTGTGATGCCTTCGTGTTCTTGAATGTATCCTGTCTGAAATAATTCTTTATGAAAATACTTCAACACAAAAAATATTTATAATTTTACTTAATATGAATAAATTCAAATTAGAAATTATAAAAATAAATGTTTGGCATAATAGACTAGCCATATTATAATAAAATTTAATTTTTAAGACGGGGATTGTGCGTAGATCCCTATTAATTATTATTTTTACTGGAACCGAAAGTTTGGTCTAATTGTTTTGTCTTCAAGCGTTTTCTACAAAAAAATTAAATCGTTCCGTTTAATTGTCTGCCCAGGACTAATGGAGTGGTTTTTCTTAATCGTATTTTTGTTAATTCTGATTTTAGGTTAATTTGACAGCCTTAATAGGAGCTAAAAAATTAAATTATTTTCCACCTGTTTTTCAGCTTCAGAATTTACATTTTTAATTAATTCATTAGTTTGTTGGGGAAAATTCAAAGGAACATTTTCTGTAGTCATTAAAGGAGGGCATAAATTTAAATTATTTCCACATTCTTCTTCACCATAATTATTCCCTCCAATCATTGGATCGTCAAATTGATCAAATCCTATTAAACTTTTATCATATAATGTATTTCTTGAGTCGGTAGAGAACGGAGAAAGAAATCCAAGATGGTCGTCGAAAGAGACTGTTTGGCGTAGTAATTGTGGATGTTGCTTAAAAATATATTTATTATTAGAGAGGGGGTATGTGCCAATATAGGAGTAGATCTGAGTAAGTCCGCATACTGAAAGTTTCGAATATCCTTAAGATTTGGCTCTAGACGCATTACTTTTGTTAAGAAATTCTACTTAATATTTAAAAATTCAAATATTTAAATATTTAAATAAAAACATAAATCATGAAGTAAAACGCGCTCAGAAAGAGTTATATTTTTGAAAGGGATCGAGTGAAGATTCCTAAAAATCAAATTTTTAGGGTTGTCATTGATTGATAAAAATGGCTGTCCGCAAGGGGGTATTATTAGGGAGGGGGTATATGTTCTAATGTTATGATCCGAGTAAGTTCGTATATCTGTAAGTTGCGTATACCGTTAAATTTGGCTCTAGACGCGTTGCTTTTATTTAAAAAATTCTACTTAATATTTAAAAATTCAAATAATAAAAAATTTAAATAAAAACATAATTTTTAATTTAGCACCTACTCCTCTAACAACGTATCTATTTTTGTAAGGGATCTGGTGAAGATCCCTAAAAGTCTATGTTTTCATGTGGCAGCGATTAATAAAATTAAATATATTTTCGCAGCCGTTATCCGCAACTGCGGACAGATCTGATCATTGCACGTCAAATTAATTTTTTATTTTTTGCTTATTCCATTATTTAATTAATTTAAAGTAAAAATTACTCTTTTTTCTGGTTGTTGTAATAAATTAACAATTTGATGAATTGACCTTTCTTTGTTTGAATCAGAATTTAAATTAACAGTTTCAATATAATTGTCTTCTCTTTCCAAACTTTTGGGTCTTACATTAATATTTTGAGGAGAATTTTGTAGATTATTATTTGTTGGGTTATTGTTGACGATAAGAAATTCTTCGGATATTAAATTGTGTTTGATTACTTCTGAAAAAATTAAATTGCAACAATAGTTATTTACAGAGGACCTAAATTATACATAACTTTTCTTCAAATAAAATGTGAATTTTAAAAAGTGATAAAGGTCCGCATCAGGTATGTCACGGGTTACTTGAACCCGATCCCAGAAAAATTTTGAAAACCCGACCCGAAACCCGACCCGACATTTTTCTCAACTCGTGACATCCCTGGTCCGCACAAAAGTGGTGGATTTATTAAATGGTACTCCATAGGATATATTTTTGATCTGATAAAGGATTAGAAATTTTGCCCCTTTTTGGGGCAAAATTTTATTGTTAATCTTAAAAAGCAAATCTTTTATGCAACAATTAAGATAAAAGATTTTTCGGAGGAAAGGAATCGGGAATCATGATTAAGGATGTCCTAAACGGGGACGGGACGAGTATCCAGTAAAAAGTAGCACAACTAGCTTGGCCTGTAACTGTTAATTTATTTATATTTTCGGCTTTAATTGGGGAATATTCTATTGGACAACCACACATTTTTTTAATTCTGTTCATTCAATTTCCGTTACTCTCTTCAAGTTTATTAAAAAATATTTTCCCTTCCCTGTTTAATAATTTTTCTAATGTCCCAAATAATTAAATTAACATCTAACTTACCGCTTACGTCGTCAAGGTCATTTTGAAGTGCGAGAAATGGATCGGCCAAAAATGAATTATTTTCTTTAATTAATTCTTCTTCTTCCTTTTCCCCTTCTTCACATTTTTCTTCTCTTTTCCTTTTTAATTTGTTTAAATTATTTTGATTAGAATTTTGATGATTTTCAATTTTTGTATCTATTCCTTCTACTAATAGGCAGTCATTGACACAGCCCTCTAGGCTGTCAAGCATTTTATTAAATTTTTAATTTGTATAAGTAAATAGGCAGTTTAGATGAGTTTAATTAACTAAAAATTATTTTAAATAAGTATTAATTAAGGGAAGAGTATCATCGTCTGTTATCCCCAGTAGAGATGAGGTAGGTCTTGGGATTAGCCTTGGGATTTCCTGTATCCAGGGCACAGACTTTGGCATTTTTAAACTTCTCGAGTTTTACTTGAACTCCAAACCCTGAATATGGTCCAATTCAATGAGTTATACACATAATCCTAACATGGAAAATAATCAAGGTCGAATTTACAGGTTATCCCAAGTAGTGATCGAACTGTGTAAGGGCTAATACCCGAGGATGTCCTGTTGTATCAAGAGCACGAATCTAGTCATTTTTGAGATTTCGAGTTTCCTCTGAACTCCGAGCCTTGTATTTGACCCAAACTAGTGAATTCCAAAATTGGTCCAGGTCCGTAAAATAGACTAGGTCGTTTCTGTTCTCGACCCCACACAGACTTTTTAACTAGGTATTTTTATGAAAATTAATACTCCCCAGGCTGAGTCGAATAATATCAAAATAAACAATTATTTTGGTATCACCACGAGATGAGGTATGACTCAAAGCAAACAAAAATTAGAGAAAATTGTTTAAAATAATTAAATTTCTGGAATATTCTGACTATAAATTTTTTTTAAATAAATTTTTGTAAAAATTAAATTGAATGACAAATAAAAGACAAAATTATTAAGGTAATTAAAAGCCTCATTACTCTCCTCGTGCTAATTGAAAGAGCTTCCAAATAAATTTATTTACTGTAAAATTGATAAAAATTGCACACAAGATTGGCATTAGAAAGAATTTTTTTCGAAAATTTTTTTTATTTTTGTTTTTATGACAGTCAACTGATTATTTTTAAAGCTAAAACGTCTTCAAAACGTTGTGGAATGTGTGTAGGTTAATATCAATTTTTGCATGTGATGGGTATATGAATTTGGAAATTGAGTGGTAAAAGGGTAAATTCGTAATTGTCAAAAAACAATTAATTGTTTAAATTAGAACAATTAGTTGGTTAGTGGAAGAAATTAGTAGATAAAGCTATAAATTGGTAATTAGAAGAGGTGGGTCGGAACAGTCAGAGGTGTCAGAAATCGGAAGAGCCGGAAATCGGAACTGGCCCAAAAGTCGGAACTCGGAAATAAAATTTTTTTTCAGAACTCGGAAATCGGAAATCAAAATTTTTTTCGGAACTCGGAACTCAAAATTTTTCTTCGGAACTTGGAAATTGGAAATCAAAATTTTTCTTCTGAACTTGGAAATTGGAAATCAAAATTTTTTTCGGAAATCGGAAATCGGAATTCTGACCCACCTCTGGTAATTAGTCTCTTCGGCTTCTATTAAATTCCTATATCCTAATCTATATAAACATGCTTATAGGGGTAACGCTAGTTCTCGGCCTATAAAATTGCCTAAAATGGCCTATAAATTATGAAATTTTCAGAACATTCAGATTATACATTTGGCTATGTTTTTGCAAAATTTCAGAGTTCTGGCTTTACTTTTGACGGTTTTATTAGCTTTTACCCTTCCAAGGACGCCCACAACGCTTGCACCCTAATTATTGCTAAGTCAGCATTTTATTTTTGAAATTTTTTTGATTATATTTGTGTTTAGATGGAAATAAGGCAAAAAGGACAAAAAATAATAAATGAAGCCTTTACTTGTATTTTTAGGTTTTTCCTCAATTAATTTGTGTTATCAGTATATTTTAGTTTATATGTTTATAACCCAATTTTTTTTTATTTTATATAAATTGTTTGTTTGCTTATTCTAAAGATTAAAGAACTATTTGTAATTGACCGTTTTTGCAAAAAATATTCAATAAATTATTTTATGGTTTCTGGAGTTTATTGGGAATTTTTGCCAGCTTATCAAAAATTGCTGTTAAACAAAGAGCAACTCAGCCCTAATTTAGACTTATTTAAAAATTAGAAGTTTAAAATAAAAATTTATATAAATAATTTGGAATATACATAGATAGTATTTTTATTTTTTATTTTGAGGTGCGCATAAATGTGCAGAAATTTGATAATTATACAGTAGAACCTCCCTCTACCTTATCAGTGATTCACAGATTAATATCTGTCAAAATCCGGTTTGAAATTGTGAAATAAATCTCCAAGATGTTTATATCAAATGATAGTATAACTGTAAAGCATATAGCTATTTAATTCCTAAGGGTATGCATTAGGCGGCGTGGTGTAATGGCTAACACATCAGTGCGGTCTACTGAAGATGCTGTTTCGCTCCCAGCCGCCGAATAACCTTCTGCAATAGCTGAAGGAAAGAAATAGCCTACTCTCAGCTGCTTTACTTAACTAAGAGTGAGATAACATGGAACATAGATTATCTGTAAGATAAAAATAGCTAAGAGTAGGGTTGCCGGCCCGGTCCAAAAGATCGTGTCGGGCATCGAATTTTGGCCCAAAAAAGACTCGGTCGGGCCGGCCCGATAAAAATAAGGCTTGAAAAAATGACGAACGTCGGCCCGACTCAAAAACGGCAACCTTAACTAAAAGTATTGGATCTAGGATAACCAAGAGCTTCTACTGTATGTGCAAAATATATACTTAATTTAAATATAATTAAAAATCATCCAAAAATAGCCGTTTCCTTCTTTGGGAATTCAATATCGTCCTCAACAATATTTTCAGTCTTTGGGGGAAATCCTCCAAATATTGTTTGCTGTTGTTCTTTGTCTGCCCCAAATATTGGTATTTTTGTGTCAATTATCTCCATAGGTTCGTGAACAAATTGGAAAGGCCCTCCTTCTTTAAATTGTTGGACACAATGTCCGTGACCTCTCAATATCCATTTTGTGGTTAATAAGCCTTCTACACCTACTGGGCCGCGGGCGTGGATCCGTCCGGTGCTGATGCCGACCTGTGATAGATTAGAATATTTTTTTGGGGAAAACAATTAATTGCTATGTAATAGGCATAATTGTCTTGAAAGAATAAATACATTCAAGGATAAATATATTACAATGGAAATTATCAAAAAGAAGAAAGGATCTGATCTCTGGGTCCGATCTCAAGTTCGATCTCTGGTCCCGAATCGAGCTCTAGACTTAACCAGGAAAACCAGAAAGCCATCGAGTTTAGCCTATAAAGGAACTCAAGATTAAGAACCCTTGATTGGGTACTCAATTGGTCTGATCTCTAGTTAAATACCAGAGAACCCCAACAAATAAATCTTAAACCAAACTGGATTCACTTTACAATTTAATGACTAAATATTTACCTCAGCACCCAACCCAAACCGATATCCATCAGCAAAGCGTGTGCTTGAATTGTGAAAGACGCAAGCGCTGTCTACTTGGGTTAGGAAATAGCCTGCTGCTTTGTCTTTAATTTAAATTTTTATTTTAATAAATACATAAATTAATAACCGTCATTTGTCACAATCGAATCTGTATGTCCACTTCCATATCCTTTAAAAATAAAATAAAAATAGTATTTATGTGCACTCTAAGATTTGGCACCATTATAGCCATTAATTACAATAATTTTAAACACGCTCTAAATTTACTGCACTGAACCGGACTTGAATTTAAATGAGAGAAAACTCAATCCGTATTCGTCCCACCCCAATTCGTCCCACAGTGAAAAATCCCACAATTTGTCCAAGTTAATAACAAACTCACGAATAATATGAGAAACAGCCTCCTCCACATTATCCACAACTTCAAGAGTGCATTCTAACCGTCCATACTCGAACTTGAGTGATTCAGCTGCTGGAGGTCCAAATTTAAGTAAAGATTGAAGTTTGGGTCCAGCATGGAGTTTGACCCCTTCTGACTTAAGCATTCCACAAAGCTGAAAATAATTAAAGTTTAATTACAATCGTGATTGTATTTTTCTGTAAATTATTCACTTTTACTCTCTCGTTAATTTTAATGGAGGTCAAAGGAATTCATCATGGAAGGGTCGGCTTGAGAAAAAAGGCGGGTAAGGTTTAGGTTTAAAAATTTTTAAAGTCAGGTTTCGGATGTTAGCTAGAAACCAGACCCATTCCTTTCAGTCATTAGCCCTCCCTAGAGCTTGATTCCAGAACTAGGGAACGGAAACCCATCCCTTGCAACTATTAGCCCTCGCTGTTTGATTCTAGAACTAGGGTTGATGGAAACCAAATGATATATCAGTTCGCTCTTCAGTTTGATTCCGAATATCCGAGATTCTACAAGAACCAACAACCCTATTTCTATACTTCATTTAAAAAACAAACGCTGTCAAAGAAGGGAGTGTTAATATGATCTCGATGAACCAAAATAGTTTCTACAGCATTACAAGCAGCAGGGTAATCACATTTAGAATCCCTAACAATATCCAAAGCCATCTTTTCATCACAATTTCTGTCAACAAAAACATGGCAAATACCCTCAGCATGTCCAAGAACGGGGATTCCTTTGCTCAATTCTTGCATTTTTCTGACTAGGTCTGATGAACCTCGAGGAATTACCAAGTCAATTAATTCTGGAATATTAAAATTCGTAATAAAATTAATATCAGTGTTTTAACTAGAGTAAGTCGAGTTCTGAGTAATTGGGGAAAAAGCGAGTTCGAGTACGAGTAGAGAAATTTCAATCGCGATAGCCAGATCTATTTCCTAGATCTTGTCATTGTCCTACTAGTCTAGCTATTCCCTAAATGTGATAAAAGGCTATGACAACCCATCTCCACTTGTAATGACCCCCATCCCATGCAACTGTTACATCTTTTATTTCTCATAATATTAAATAATAATTAAACACCTCTAAGCTGCAAAAGTTCAGCAACATCTTCTCTTGATCTAACCAAAGTAACGGCATCTCTCAATTCATAACCTTGCGTTCCCAAAGCTTCTTGTACCAAAGAATGTAGCAATTTATTTGTTTCTTCAGCTTCACGACCCCCTTTGAGCAATAAAGAATTTCCTGAAGCCATTGAAAGACCGGCAACTTGTGGGAGACAATCTGGTCTTGATTCGA